AGAGAGAGAGAGAGGTTCCAAAAGTGCAGGTCTTTTTGACCACGCATCCGTGCAAGGGCGACGTCAGACTGGATTTAGAACTATCGTACTCGGCTTTTGTTTGTTTGTTTATCATATCATCTCTCACTAATTCCTTTTGGTGTCTAATGGCTGTAGATGATGAAACGCGTCCTAGGAATTGTTTTAAAGAGAGAAGGGGTGACCCACTAATGCGAGAATTTAGGGTACTGCTACCTCAATTCTGATAAAATCTGAGGTGAGAAGGACATCATGGAGGTGTAAGGTGAGAAGGAGAAACTTCAAAACTAACCCGAAAGTGGTCAGGAGTGCAAGACGTGTCCTTATTCAAACCCAGTCCCAAAGGACCCGTTTGTTTTCAGTGTGCGAGAGAGATTTATAAGCTTTTGTTTGGAGAGAGGGAAGGGCCTATTTTAGAAGCACATGCACTTGAAATTGGCCGGGAGGGACGGGTCTCTTCCATTGATGGTGATGGCGTTATCATTGGCGTTTGGGAAATAGTTTCCTGGTATTTATAGTAGTTGGGGCTTTCAACATCGATAAACAAAACTCATTAATAGGTTTTGTTGCTCTTGCTGGGCATGATATTTAATCTTTCCAGTACTTCCCAACTTTAGTTAGCACAACAGGACACTCGTGCGCACACGCCCGGTGTTAAATCCTATAAGTATTTTTCTTGTACAAAGAACATGAGACACTCCTCTAAGGCGATAGAGCAATGCCAAGTATCCCACAGCCATCCTAAACATGCACATCCGCATGTCAAGAGAGAGAGAGAGAGAGAGAGAGAGAGAGAGAGAGAGAGATCACAACTCTAAAGCCTGCAAAGAAACGAACATGAACATACCCATAAGCACCACCACAGCCAAGCCGCATAACAAAAGAATCTATATTTACAGCTCCCCACGACAATGGCAAGGCCGACAACCCCAACCCCAACGACATGTACCCCACCCCTCTACCATCCTCCCTCCCCTCTTTCCCCAACAACCACCACCATCACCACTACCACCAGTCCAAACAACCATTCTCTACAATTACACAAGCATAACAAACAACCCAAGCCACAGATTACATTAGAAGTGAAGTTGCCTACACTGCAAGACCGTAGCCTCCATTGGGCAATATGGGCACTTGAACGCCCTATTGCTGCTCTTCGAAAGCTTCATGATTGACCCTCGGCACAACACATGCCCACAAGGCATTATCATGGGTGGGTTCTCCTCACTCCCTTGCTCCCTTGAAACCGGGCAGACAAAAACTGAATGAAACTGATACTCTTTGCCCAACTCCACAGCTATTGGCAACTGCTTCATGGCCCCCCATTCTTGCCTTTTGGCTGCCATCACATTCGCTAACTTGAGCAAAGTTGGCAGGCCTTGCACCCCAGCCCCTATGGCCACATGCAACGGACTCTCGCATGATTGCCCTAAGGCCCCACAACACTCACGAGCCACTTCGTTTTCAAGTAATTCCCATTGAGAAGGTGATAAGAGCTCAGCATAAGGGCTCGCGTCAAGCCGACCAGCCCATAATAGGCACCCCATGAGCCTTTGGACCTCAGCCATGTGGGTTCGAGCCAGGGGTGCCAGGTGGGTGCGAGCATAGGCTAGAGCCTCTGCTCTTGCATCCCCACCCTTCTGGAGCATCTCCACAAATGCTAGCCTGTGAAGCTTCATCTCAAGGCTCGAGCCCTTGAGCAACAGTTGATCACGATGAGTGCGAGCCCAGTTGAGGGCAGGCTCAAGGTTCTTGAGCCGCATGGCCTCAAGGATGGCATACATTTCGAGGAAGGGGGCCTTGAGGGAGACTAGGTCAGGCTCATGAGCTTCAGTGGTGAAGAGGTCACCGAGGTCAAAAAGACCTTGGCGATAGAAGTGAGCAGCAATAATTTGGTTGAGGGTGTGTTGATCGAAATCGACACTTCGATAGGCCTTGGCTATGTCAGTGATGAAGGTCTTGTCGATGACTTTAGTATACTTGCCTAGAGCCATGTTGAGGTCCTTTTGCGAGGAATCCAGCTGGTTTGTCGGGCCAAATTCCTTAAGCTTGGCATTCAGCTCAGCAAGGATGGCTTTTGGGTTGGTCTCTCCCCCATTTGGAGGGGGAGGTTGTTGGATCTTACTGAGTACCTGTTCGATTTCTTGCTCAACAAGGTCAATTACTTCTTGAGTCTTCGAGGAAGAGAGTCTCTGCTTTTTGGAGACTCGGTCGAAGACATCTTTAATGGTGGTGGTCAGCTCCATTTCTTGACCCAATTCCGAGAAGGGCTTCTGCATAAGCAATGAAAGAAGACCAGTTAAATATCCTCCTTCGATTTATAATACGAAGTTTTCATGTAGAAGTGCATTCTAATGTAGGCTGAATCTCAATCGTTATGATATTTTAAGAGTAAAAAAGGGGCATCAATTTGGAAAAAATCATGTTTCTCAGGCCAAAACAAATTGGAGAATGAAAAGTTCTGCTAAGAATACTAAAATGTTATTGATTTATAAAAAGTACTACTAAATTGAAATAGTCTGACGTAGGTCCAATAGAAGATGCACCATAGACAGCTGAATCGATCCCTAAGACCTCATTGTTCAAGTTTGCACATGAAAACCACCAAGCATATAATTTTCATATTACTGGAAAAGAAAAAGGTCCCTGACGAACCTACATTTCTTCAGTACACATCAGTCAATATATAAGCAGGCATGATTGATCTACAAAACACTAGATACTCCAGAACAAATTAGTGGGATTGGAACCATTGAATGTTCCACTGTGGTTTCATCCTTCTAACGACCAAGCTTTGGGGCGCCTTTCATGATTGGATCCAAAACAGCTCCCTGTAGACGCTTGAATGCCAATGCTTTTTATTTATTTATTTACTTGACCGAAAAAAGACTATGCTACATATATTTTGAAATTCTTCAAAGCACCCCAAAACTTTAAATCTCGCTTGCTAATACCCCTACAAAGCAAATGCTTTGCCTATCAGTTCACCCAAGAGATATGTAAGCCAATAATTGCCACAAAAGTAATCAATGCACATGCCCTTTTCAGACTGCATGTTGCCCTATGGACTCCCGTGATATGGGAAGAAGCAACTTCCAAACGATAGGGGAACTCTGCCCATTATCAAGTCCATTCTAATCTAATGGAAATGCGCCACTGCAGAACCTGCACCATGCTCCCCTCCTAGACTCTTGGCATTGGTGGTCTCTCATAAGTGACAATATTGATCAAATACCACTCTTTCCCAACCAAGCATCATATTCCTTTGTCCCGTCTTTTGGTTGGCAAAAAAAGAAAAGAAGACTTCAAATACGTGATGATGCCAATACATTAAATTTCGCAATAAATAATTATCCTAAAAGCATCTGTCCAACTGCATTTGTGCTAGGTGATCTAGACTTTACACACCAATATTGTTATTTTTATACACCAATGTGTCATATTCACTCTGCAGCCTGTGTCCGCTGAGTTAAGAAAGAAAAGAGCTGTGCCACAATGGCCTCTTTGGGGTGGACTCAAATAAACTGGAAATTTTTAATGAACTATAATGAAAAAAAACAAATAGAAGGTTTCCCCTTAAATATATAGAAAACATACAGTAAGTTTGGATGTACCCAAATATGCAAGTTTTTTGGATGATAAGTGAATAATATCTCCCAAAGGGTCTAAACACATCTGATGTCACTTTTTGGACGGAAATAAAAAATAGCTATCACATCTATGGTGAAATTGACATCCTAAAATATTCTGCTACTTCCCGAATTTGTTCGCTAGCACTCCTTATGTGTTCTCAGAGCTATCACAGGAAAGCTCGTCAGAAATCCCCTGTCTCCTTCTCCCCATCCTCTGATTACAGAAATGAACTGTCTGTTAACAACATCAACATTGTAGTTGTTCCAAAGCTCAGAGCTCTGGTCAAGAATGTTGTAATTCTGAGGAATCGAAGATACAGCTCCTGCTGATTTTACCTTTTTTTCCACTCTCCACATCAGGGCCTTCAACGACAATCGATGAAGAGGAGTTCAAAATCTCATTCCTCTTTTCATTGAAGCCCCCTTTCCTTCGTCATCATCTTCACCTCTGAAACTTCCTGACTCCGCCACAAATGAGCTACCCCTTCATTTCACTGGCGAGTCATTCAGATCCCACATCATGATGACCTCTTTCTCTCTTTCTGTGACCACACAATTCATCTCGCTCTCTATGTGTTCACTCTAACCACCAAATCTCTCTACCCAAATCCCAAAAATGGAGTTCCCTCTACCCCGTACTCCAACATAACCTTTCCAGCCCACAAATTTATCTGCTAATTTATTTCCACTATTAGCAAAGCATTCCAAGCTTTGTTTTCAGATAAAAAGAATCGCCCTCTCTCTCTCTAAAACCACCTCAAAAGCTACACCCTTCTCTCTCTTTGTTCTTTCTCTCAGCCAAGTGCTAGAATCAATTTCTAGGGTTGTTTCTCTCTACCTTCCATTTGTTTTGAGGTCATTTCTGGTTTGGTTCTTTCACAACACTACCATTTTGTGTTTCTGTCTCTTTCAAAAGAGAAAAACCATAAAACCAAGATTTGCTTAATGGAGGTTCCATGGGTAAAGGTCTCAACTTTCAAGTGGGTTTATTTCAGTATTGGAGTTTTGGGGTGGAAGTTTTTGGAAGCTTGTCATGTATTAAAACCTCCTCAACCATCACTCACATTTATTAGCTTTTCATCATTTAAACTTCACCAAAAAGCTAAAAACATTTCACCCAGACTACATCCAAACAAATTTATTGTTCGATGTCAGAAATTTAAGCAAGTCTTAAAACTCATAAAGCATTGCAATGTCCAAGATTTTTCACCATAAGTATTTTTAATAGATATTTTCACCAGAAAGTTGTATAATATAACACAAATGGAAAGATCCAATATTCAATGGAAACAAGAAGCAGCCCTTAAAATGGTTATTAGAAGAACTAATTCAAGTATGCCACAAGGAACCATTATTAAAAATAAGCATTACCAATATCCTTATTGATACAGATTTATAATTGAGACAAGGACAGAATAGTATTCAATGTTATAATCTTGAAAGATCCAATATTCAGTGGAAACAAGAAGCCCCCCTTCAAATGGTTATTAGCAGAACTAATTCAAGAATGCCACAAGGAACCATTATTAAAAACAAGCATTAGCATTATCCTTTTTGATACACATTTATAATCGAGACAAGGGCAGAATAATATTCAATTTTATAATCTTTATTATAGGGAATCACAACCCATGATTGTCACCAAGAGCTCTGCACAAGGGTCTTTCTTTTTAACTTTTATTGGAACTTGAAGTTCATTGAATTGAAGTTGAATGTGACAGTTAATGTCATAGTTGTTGGAAATGTCGGGGAACCTAAATCATTTCAGGAATTGAAATCACAGAATTACGGCCGCCTAGAAGATTCATATTTTAGGAATCGACTTCCATACAATGGGAATCGCAAGGAACGAGATTCCTAATTTCCTAGAATCACGTCTTGACCATGCATCCACATCTGGAATCGAGATTCCCACCCACTAGAATCGACACACGTAGAGTCAAGATTCATTGATATGTGGAATTGAGATTTCGATATCTATGAAATCGAGTTTTTAACATATGTGGAACTGAGATATGTTGCAATTTAGAATCGTGATTCCAACATCTTTGGAATCGAGTTTCTTATGTATATGGATCCGATATCCATGCCGGTTTGAAATCGAGAATTACATTAGTATGGAATGAATGCATTTGACCCCTATCAGGAATCGAGATTTCAATTTTATGAAGTAGGAAGCCCCATACACATCTTGAGCCTTATCAACTTTAGAACCTATGTCAAATGTCTCTTATTTGACTCGTGGAGACAACTGTAAAGTGATTTTATAGACTATTGATCTTAGGGTCAAATAACTTACTAGGAAAACTATATACAAAAGATAGGTATTTCTAAATTGTGATTTTGACTTCATTAATATATAGACAAAATAGGATTTATGTAGACAAATAGGGTTTATGTATTTCTAAAAGATATGGAAGCAAGATTCCATATTGATTGAATCGCATTTCCCTACTCCTATGAACAAATGTACTATACGTTGTAGATTCTAGATTCAAAGCCCTAACGAAACAAGAATCATTATATGTGGAATCATGTATCATTCGACGTGGCTGAAGATTCAATCTTTGTTGAAGTCATGATTCGATGTATTTGGGAACAACTTTCCACACATAATGGGTTCAAGATTCTAAAGATGTATTGAAACTAGATTCCTAAATTAAGGAATCGAGATTCCGTAGTTTCGAGAAACGGTTTCGGTGAAGATTCCTTAATGGAATCACTGAATTGGCTTTCCGAACAGGAATCGCGAGGTCGCCACAGTGATTCCGGTAACTATGGTTAATACATGGCAAAAATCCTCTATATCGCAAAACTTCAAAGATGTTGCTCCTCCAAAACTCCTCAGCATCTTTTTGGCAATATCGTTTTTGCACCAAAAGACAATAGATAATGTGGCCAGAAGAAAACCAAGGGGACAAGAAGCTAATTCTGTCCGCATAAATGGCAGGTTCAGCCAGAAAGCACTGAAGGATTCTCGCCCATGTTGAAGATAAAGCAAAACAATGATGAGAACATTGTTGAGTAGGATTAACGAAAAGGGTACAGCTTCCTGTGAATCAGGGAAACCCTGTGCTTTTGGCACCAAAGGACAATAGCCAAAACGGCTAGAAGAATAAAGGGAGACAGAAGATAATCATGTTCTCAAAAAAGACAGGATTCAGTCGAGAGCACCGAAGGGTTTCTATCCATGTCTAACATAAAGTAAAGCTATGATGAGAACACCATTGAGAAGGATTAAAGAAAAAAGTACAACTTTCCATCAGTCAGAAAGGTCCACCAACGGGTCAAAACTATTCAGAACATAAACTTGATGAAGTTCTTTTTTTTTGTCCCTTTTTTTTTTGAAGTTGTTAACTATATAAACTTGATAAAGTTAGCCTATATAACATAGAATTATCCACTTTAAGAAAGAGACAAACCACCAAAAAGCTTCTCCCCATTGTGATTTCATCTTTTTCCCAGGTCCATATCCATATAAAGACATTGAATTGAAAATTAGAGTGTTAGTCCACCATGAAAGATAGAATAACACAAGCCTTTGTCCAAGTAATGGAAGGTTTTCAAGAGATAAATGACCATAGCATGATAGCATCTGGATGGATCTAATTTCACATATTGTCAGAGAATCTAGAGAGAGAAAAGATAAAATAGAAAAAAGAAGAGACATAAGAGAGAGATAAGAGACACGAGAGCAAGGGAGAGAGAAGAGAGACGTGAGGCTCAAAAACTGACCCCTCACGGACCTCTTAAACTACGTATAAATTATCAAAAAGCATGAAATGCAAAACTGCCAATATAAAATATGAAAGGACCCTTAGGTCCTAGAACTTGGACAAAAGGGCTATTTACAATCCCCCTCAAGATGGAGCATAAATTCCCCCCCATGCCCAGCTTAGAACAAATTGTTTCGAACATATTACAACCAAAGCCCTTAGTTAAGATGTCTGCCAGTTGATCCTTAAATTTCACATATGGAGTAGACACCTGCTTAAACTTTCTCTCCGATCAAATGAGGGTCTTACTTCAATGTGCCTCGTCCTTTCATGAAACACCAGATTACTAGTTATAAAAGTTGCTGGTTTATTATTGCAATACATCTTCATAGGTTCAGCAACAGTAAACCCCACCTCCTATATTAGTGTTTTCCGCCACATCAATTCACATATAGTATATGCCATTGCTTTATATTCAACTTCTACACTAAATCTAGCTAAAACATTTGTTTTTTGCTTCTCCATGATACCAAGTCTACCTGCGGTAGACCGTTGTCAAATGGAGAACCTGCCTAATCAGCATCTGAGTAACTTTCAATGGCTAAATGATTATTTGGATTTTTAATCAAACCTTGACATGGGGCTCCCTTCTGATACCTTAGAATTCTAGGAACAATATCCCAGTGGGGAATCCTCGAAGCTCGCATAAATCGACACACAAAAGTTAACTACAAAAGCAGTATCAGGCCTTGTGATGGTAAGGTAAATCGGCCTGTCTACCAGTCTTTTGTACCTTTCTGGATCCTGAAACAACTCTGCCTGATCACGCAATAATTTTGTATTTGAATCCATAATTTTGTACTCCCTCGGACCACCAAGATATTCATTACAAATAAATCAAAAAAATAATCTACAAGTACACAAATTGGATTCTTTACAATGCAAGGCACCCTTCTTTTATACCCATACAATTTATTCTTCTTTTGGATAACTACCCTCAAAGAGATCACATCCTTCCTATGCAAATCAATTATCTTCTCAATATTCAACGAACCTTCCCTTCCATTGAGATCAATTATCTTCAAAATATTCAACCAACCTTCCCTTCCATTGAGATAAACCCAAACTCTATCTACTAAAAAAATGACGCACTAAAAAATGGATAAAAAGATACTACAAAGGAAGACTTATCCAAATAAAACGAACGTCCTAAAAAAACCTAACTCTGAACGGACTCATTAAAAAAAATTTAAGACTAAAAATAAAATTTGGAGCAGCCAAATCTTGATCTGCGTCATTCTTCCCTAGTTAGAAAAAACTCGTCCTCGAGTTTTAAATTTTGCTAAGATGAAAGCAATATTAGTCCCGCTACCTTCTTAGATCCAAATGCTGTAAACACGATCCTGCACTGAAACTGATAAACAATCGTGCTGATAAACCCTCGAGGAATGGGCCATCATATATCTATAGGAATTGTTTATACTCAACCCTAACATCTTCGAGCTGGGAATGTTCGATGACTAATTTAACCTCACTTATGGATTCTCCTATGAATGCTTCCTTTCTTTCTTCATCAAATAATTCCATAGGCTCGACCTCCTCTAGAATAACAGAATGTAAATCCCACTCATAAGCCACCGAAGCAAATATTAACCCAGTCTCCTAAACCTCTTCCATAAATTTAGCCATTGAGAGTAAATTTACACCCTTAGGCATAATTTCCTTTTTCATGGGAGCTAACACAGCTTTATTACTATCTTTCCAAATAGTATGTGTTCCAACTCCCATCATGTATAGCTCTACGGCATACTGCCATGGTCTACCCAATAATAGATGACAAGTATCCATGGCAACCACATCACACCATACATCATCACAATATTTCTTGCCAATAGAAAAAGAAACATGGCATCTACTTTCTACTCGTACCTCATTGCCCTTTCTTGAACCAAGTAAGCTTGTATGGTTGGGGATGCTTCTTTGTGCCTAGCTTGAGCTTTGTGATCGCATCTTGTGAGATTACATTTTCACAACTCCCACTATCAATAATAAGCTTGCACACCTTGCCTCCAATGGTACAGGCGGTGTGAAAAATATTAGTCTTTAACCAATCCTCTTGAGTTTCTTGCTTAGGCGTTAATAGGCTCTTTCGAATAACTAAGGACTCTCCAACATCTCCATAGACAAGATCATCCTCATCTGGCTCCTCATCATAAACTGTATCACAGTCATACCCATCAGCATCATCTAAGTTCTCATCCACAATCATGAGTTGCTTGCTTTTATCAGGACGGTTATGCGGCTTCCTACAGTCTCCAGCCTTGTAACCCGTCTCCCCGCACATGAAACAATGGAGAGTTCAGTTGCTGCCCTGAACTCTTGCATCTTCAAGCCTAGCACCACGATCTTGAAACTGGCCTGTTCGGAGACCCGAATCTCCTCTCGTGGTTGTACTAGCTCTGCTCCTGGACTGTTGCTTAGCTACAGTTAAAGCTCGTTGATAGGATTCCGATATAGTCCATAGAGAGTATGAAATTAGGATATCATGAATTGATTGGCCCAGTCCCGCAATATATCGGGCAACCTGTTGCTCTTCAATCTCAAACAAGTTGTTCCTTGCAACTAGTTGATCGAACTCCTCAGTATAATCATCAACGGACCTCCCTCCTTAATGACCGGTATGAAGTCGTTGAAACATCATCTGGGTATAGTTAAAGGGTAAGAACTGCTCCCTTAACTTTTTCTTCATCTTTTCCCAATCAAAGATTTTGGATTTTCCCATCTTTCCCGAGTCTTTTTCAAATGCTCCCACCATGTTGATGTACAGCCCTTAAGCCTAATAGCCACAAGCTTCACCTTCCTATCATCGGGCACATCTTTGTATCCGAAGAGGCGCTCGATAGAATCAATCCAATCAATAAATTCTTCTTCTTGCAATCCTCCCGCAAACTCTGGTAGATCAACATTAATACCTAGATCCCAAGATCTATTATCCCAAACATGGGGCTCCCAATGAGGAGCGTGCACATGGAAAGGGTTCTCAAAATCAGCTTCCTACTCACTACTGTCATCATAGTGTGTTGGGGCTGGATTTTGCGCCAAGCACTGGGTCAATTCTTCTACTTGCCTTCTCTAATTTTCGAACTTTATCTCATGAAGGTCCCGCTCTCGTTGGATCGGCTCATTCCCGACACCTTGTTGTCGCGAACGTCCCTGAACCATGATGCCTTGTCAAGAGCACACCATTGCACAAGAGTCTAGGCTCGGACACCACCTGACACAGTACAAAATTTACTGGCAAATTTAATCGCGTTTTTAGAGAGAAATAAAACGAGAAGGAAATAACAAGAAGAAAGAACAAAACGTACGGATCCGAGTAGTCCAACACAGGCCCACAAGCATAAGAGGAAAAAAAAAAACAAATCCACAAGACGTGGTCTCTTTCTCTCTCACTCTCTACGCTCAAAAGAGGAAAAACCTCTACAATTTTTCATTCAACATCAAAAACTGTTCTTTACAATGCAAGGCAGCCTTCTTTTATACCCATACGATTTATTGTTCTTTTTGGATAACTACCCTCAAAGAGATCACGTCCTTTTTTTTTGAGAGAAAGTTAACTTGTATTAAGGAGGAAATATTACAAGGCTATGGTGAGTCGAAGTCACCCACACACGGGGACTCGGCAAAAAAAAATTTAGTGTATCATGTACAAAAAATGCTTATAGATGTTGCCCTATTACATTGATTGACATTGAGCTTTCAAAAAATACAACTGAAGAAAAAGCCTATGAACAAAAAGGTTTAAGATGTGTGTCGCTGGTCGTGCGCAAAAAAGGAGGTGGATCCAGCTTGAAGTTCTTGACTTTAACTTCTAGCTCCCTCTTTCGCCAAGCGATCTGCGAAGTCGTTGGATGTCCTCCAAATATAATTTCAGGAGACGTCCATAGCCCTACAAGTGTGGTGAATTTCATCAAAAATTGGAGTTAGATGCCATGGAGGAGAGCTTGTTCGATTTGCTCAGGAAATGACATTTTGTGGGTGACCTTCAATTATGAGGTGTGAACCCCATGATAGATTGTAGTTTTTCAAGGAAGATAAGAGGGTCAAGGCTTCTGCTTGATGGGAGTCCTTAAGGCCAAGGTACTCTGAAAGAGTAAGGAGAATATTGCCTTCATGGTCTCTAAAGACCCCCCCTGCCCCAGCTGGGCCCGGATTACCTAGGGAGCACCCATCAAAATTTAACTTGATTATGCCCTCTGGAGGAGGTTGCCAGTTATTTGGCCTTGTGACCTTTTGCGTTTGATGGAGGAGGATGTTGTGCCATTGGGTAAGGAAGAAACTCCCTGGAATACTAGAAAAGACCTTGTGGTTTGAGGCCCAAAAGGTAACCAGAGATACTGACTTGTGAAAGAGAGCTGGAGTTTGGAGTTTAGAGCCTAGAAAGATTCTAGAATTTCTTTCCAACCAAACTGTCCATATGGTTGCAGCTACAGTTGCCTTCCACGGGATTCTTCCAGCCTTAGACCAGCAAAAATCAAGATCATAAGAAATCAAAGCCTGAACCGAAGGAGGAGTGACCCATTTGATATCGAATAGTTGCAGTATTCACCCCCAGAGGTCGTAGGAGAAATCACAAAGGATAAAACGATGGAGATTTGATTCCTCCTCACATTCACACATGGCACACCTATTAGGGATGGGGATCTCTCTCTTCTATAGGTGGTCCACTGAGGGCTTTGTGGGAGAAGGCTAGCCAATTAAAGGTTTAAACTTTAGGTGGAGCAATGGTGGCCCAAACTCTAGACTAAACCAAGTTATTAGATCCCGAGAGGGTTGGTGACTAGGCTAAGCTTTTATAGAAAGAGGCAACCGAGAAGTTCCCTGAAGAGGCTCGGGTCCAAACAATATCACCGTTTCCTTGAGGTAGGATAAAGATAGAATGTAGGGTTGATGAGAGAACCTCGAAGTGATTGGTTTCCTCTTCAGTTAGATTCCTTCGGAAAGAAGGGTTCCAAACTCTACACCCTCCAATCGTCGTCATCTCCTTGGCTATTCAAGATTTTTTGTTTCGTGCTAGTGAGTAGAGTGTAGGGAACTCCTCACGCAGGGGGGAAGGTCCTAACCACAAATCTGACCAAAACTTTACTCTCATGCCCTCTCTTGGGTGGAATCTTACAGACCTTTTGAAAAGAGTGAAGACTGCAGAGAAAGATTTCCAAGCTCCTAAAGCGTTAAGCCACTGAATCCTCTCAAGCATCCACGCACCCTCAAGGATACGATATTTATGCCTAAGAAGCTGAGCCCAAAGAGCATTTGGCTGAGTGGCAAGGCGCCACCACCATTTCCTGAGGAGAGCCAGGTTGAGTTTTCGAATGACTCTGATGCCTAGGCCACCCTGGTTCTTGGGTCGGCAAACTTTGTCCCAAGATACAAAATGAAACTTCTTTTCAGCCTGGCCCGACTATAAGAAGTTTCTCATGAGTTGGTTAAGGCGATTAACCACATGTGCAGGCACATGGAAGAGGGACATGAGGTAGATTGGGAAGTTAGCTATAGTAGCTTTTATCAGCCATTGAAAGGAATCTGCCTTCCACCCAGCCAGGCGCCTATCTACCTTGTCTAGGACATGAAACCATTGTCTCATTTTGGTTTCCCAAGTCCTAGAGGCAGACCAAGATAGGTGGTAGCGAGTTCGTCTACAGAACACCCCCAGCATGGCACAAGAGCTCTAACTTCTGCGGTTGTCATTGCTACGCCCAGTATTTTGGATTTTTGCAAATTAACTTTGAAGCCCGTTGCTAAAGAGATCACGTCCTTCCTATGCAAATCAATTATCTTCTCAATATTCTAACAAACCTTCCGTTCCATTGAGATAAACCCATTGAGATCAATTATCTTCAAAATATTCAACCTTCAAGATCGTGGTGCTAGGCATGAAGATGCACCACCTGGGGGTTGTAAAGTTGTCGCTACAACACCTATTAATCACCCAAATACTGCTAGTCCAAGTGCTAGAGTTCAGGGCAGCAGCTCAACTCTCCATTGTTTCATGTGCGGGGAGGCGGGTCACAAGGCTGAAGACTGTAGGAAGCCGAATAGCCGTCCTGAGAAAAGCAAGCAACTCATGATTGTGGATGAGAACTTAGATGATTCTGATGGGTATGACTGTGATACAGCTTATGATGCGGAGCCAAATGAGGATGATCTTGTCTATGGAGATGTTGGAGAGTCCTTAGCTATTCGAAAGAGCCTATTAACGCCTAAGCAAGAAACCCAGGAGGATTGATTAAAGACTAATATTTTTCACACCGCCTGTACCATTGGAGGCAAGGTGTGCAAGCTTATTATTGATAGTGGGAGTTGTGAGAATGTAATCTCACAAGATGCGGTCACAAAGCTCAAGCTAAGCATAGAGAAGCATCCCCAACCATACAAGCTTATTGATTAAAGAAGGGCAATGAGGTACGAGTAGAAAGTAGATGCCATGTTTCTTTTCTATTGGAAAGAAATATTGTGATGATGTATGGTGTGATGTAGTTGCCATGGATGCTTGTCATCTATTATTGGTTAGATCATGGCAATATGACCGTAGAGCTATACATGAAGGGAGGAGGAACACATATGCCTACGCCTAAACCAGGGGAGGGCGCAAATTTACTCTCAATGGCTTAATTTATGGATGAGGTTCAGAAGACTGCGTCAATTTTTGCTTCAGTGGCTCATGAGGAGGATATAGATTCTGTTATTCCAGAGGAAGTCGAGCATATGGAATTATTTGACGAAGAAAAAAAGGAAGCATTCAAAGGAGAATCCATAAGTGAGGTTAAATCAGTCATCTAACATTTTCATCTCAAAGATGTTAGGACTGAGCATAAACAATTCCTATGGATATACGATGACGCATTCCTAGAGGGTTTATCAGTTTCAGTGCACGATCGTTGTATTTTTATTAGTGTCACAACCCACAACTTCCAGGATTGTGTTTACAACATTCGGAACAAAGAAGGTAGGGGGACTAATATAGCTTTCGTCTTAGCACAATTTAACTCAAGGAAAAGTTTTTTCTAGCCAGGGGAGAATGATGCAAATCAAGATTTGGTTGCTCAAAATTTTATTTTTACTTTTTATTTTATTTTTAGAGTCTTAAATGTTTTTTTAATGAGTCCGTTCAGAGTTAGGTTTTTTTTAGGACGTTCATTTTATTTGGATAAGTCTTCCTTGGTAGGATCTTTTGATCCTTTTTTTTAGTGCGTCATTTTTTTAGTAGATAGAGTTTTGGGTTTATCTCGATGGAAGGGAAGGTTGGTTGAATATTTTGAAGATAATTGATCTCAATGGGTTTATCTCAATGGCAGGGAAGGTTCGTTGAATATTGAGAAGATAATTGATTTGCATATGAAGGACGTGATCTCTTTGAGAGTAGTTATCCAAAAAGAACAATAATCGTATGGGTATAAAAGAAGCCTGCCTTGCATTGTAAAGAACAGTTTTTGACGTTGAATGAAAAATTGCAGAGGTTTTTCCTCTTTTGAGAGGGGAGAGAGAGAGAGAGAGAGAGAGAGAGAGAGACGACCCCTC